ACAACAACAACAACAACGACGACGACTACTACTACACCGCTAGTTACAGTATTTTCAGTTTAAGAATGCTTGGGTGCATTATTTCTCTCAACATACCTCTTTTTCTAATTCTTGAACTTTCTTTCTGAGTTTAGTGTTTTCTTCATTTAACATATCATTTAACTTAGACACTTCTTTCACTTGGTTTTCTAGTGATTGCAAATACTGAAAAACAGCAAGAATGACAAAAAGACATCAGCACAACTGAATATCAATTACCAGTAAAACAGATGTTACACAAGCAGGCTTTTGATTTTAGAAGAGGTTACTGAACTGCATACCGAATACCAATAAATTCTTATACAGTTAGGATAGTAGGCGCGTGCTGATTGGTCAAAAACTGTGCTTTATTAGTGAAGAAGAAAAGTGCTGACGCCATCCTGCGACCGTTTTTCTTTTTGCGTAAATAAATTCAATACCAAAATAATATTAGTAACAATATAATAAAACGAATAAAACAGCTCTTTCTGTGCTCCATTCAGTGATAAAGCACTTAGGAAGTGCTGTAAGCACTCAAGAAGTGTGAGAAGCACTCGCCTACGGCTTAAGCTTCTCCTTACGATTCTTTCATGTTTACGTCACTTTCTGTGTGCTTTATTACTGAACGGAGCATGGAAAAAGCTGTTTTATTCGTTAAATACTGCATACTTAAGAGAACATTACCATGTTGAAATTCTAGGCCAAAGTAGAGAAAGGATTTTTGTTTAAAATTTTTTTATAAGATATATTAAAAAATATATTAGCTTAGCCTGGCTTTGGCTATATGATTACACAATATGCCTGACAATGCAAGTCAGTATTCAGAAGAAAATCATGTTTTAAATTCTGTATAAACTATGTACATAAACCCTTATCCTCTTATAAAGGATTGGTCATCAATTAGCGTGCATCCATTGAGTTTGGATGCCTGCTCGCTCGCTAATTATCCAATCAGAGCGTGCGTTTTACATTAATTTTAGCATAGGGTCAGTACCTCTTTCTTTTTCTTTCTTGATAAGCAAGCCGATTCTCTGTTCTTTATCATTCTTTGTTGCCTTTTGAACAGCTTTTCCTAATGATTAAGATTATAATGTTAGTTAAGACATGTTTCTATCTTTTCAAACATCGGAAATTTGGGAATACCAAAATATTGCAGTGATGTTTTTTGGGGGGCTTCAGGATTCAGCAAATAGAAAGAATGCCTAGACATACAGTATATAGATATCATCAGAGTATGACTCACATTTATAACACCATTTTGTGGTGATTTCACTGGTGATGCGCCATTTGCTACAGCTGTTATGATTGGCTTCTGGGCTGTTGCTCCTTGTTCGTTCTGCAAATAACCACAGTAATAATTTACTTTTAATTTGATATGAAATATTTATTTTTCATAGTCTGGCATTTTAATAAAAATTGTGCATTTTGAAGGCGTACAGTAATCTCTGACTGCAGCCCTGTATACTGGGATAACACATTGCTAAACGACAACAAGAATTGCAAAACAAGGTAAAAAGTATTTGCCCAAGGCGTAAAGGTCTATAGTAAAATCTTAAAGCAACACAAAAAGACCTACCACAACGATTGCAGTGGCTGGAATGCTCCCTGATACTGGGATGTATGTAATATTCCCTGAACTAGAGGTGGTTGCTGAAATGTAAATAAAACCTATTCAATACATGGCAGTACAAATTAAGGAATATGGTAAGGTCACAAGTGTCCAATATTTTGATTTCAATATGTGATGATCACTGTCAAAGGTATTGTGGATGGCCAGAAGACTGAAGTTTCAAGCAAAAGGCTTTGTTTGTTACATTTTCATTAAACTGCTCATTGCTGCCCCATACCTCCAGATGTATATTTTGTCATTGTAGGTTTAGTAGGTGTCAATAGTCCTTTTCACAGTTCTCTGTGCCATCTTGAGAGGTAGCCCGGCCTTTGCATTGAAGCAAGACTAACAGTGAGCTTGCAATGTTGGAGACCTCTTTTTAACACCTTGGACAATTATTCACATGTCTCTTTTATTACGAGCTCACCATTTGTCTTGCTTTGATGCAAAGACGCGGCTACCTTTTGATATGGCACAGGCAACATAATATGATATGTTTCATATCATGAAACATATACTCAATCTTTAGTATTATTCTGAGCAATATTTGACCTGATAATGGTTATGGTAGCCCATTCCGCTAAAAGCTGGTATCCAGAGGGGCTGCGTATAAGATTTGGTAAAGAACATTCCTTAACAGAGGTAAGTGTATAACTTACCTGTTCCTTGTGAGAGGATTTTTGGTATTTGTCCATTCTGCAATGTAATCTTCTGTACATGACCAACAGGAATTGACTGTAAAGGTTTAACAAGACTAGGCTGGACAGTGATTGGTTCTTTTTTCACAGAACAAGATGGTGTTGGTTTGGATTCTGTCTTGATGTTTGTTTGTACCATCTTGACACTGGGGGATAGGTTAAGGCTTGCTTCTGTTCTGATGCACGAGGGGGTTGGGGATATGTTTAGTTCTGTCTTGATTGGTAAGGTTTTTAGGTAAACTACTTGGTCTGTCGTACTGGGTTGATGAGGTGGAGAATACTGCCCATTCATTAATAACTAAAAATTAGATGAATAAAACATGTTAAACAAGCTTTTTCAGTGCTTCCAAATCACAGACCCGAAATCGTACAATTTGCTTATTGCATCAAACGTAGTTTTGGTGCACGTCAATCAAGGAGTTCCATAACATTCCACAAGCACATACTCTTGAAAACTCTGCATTTTCCAACAAGGTCATCAAAATATTTTGATTGACATCCACCAAAACCTTATTTTGTTGAGATAAAAAATTAGGTGATTTCAAGCATTTGATTGGGAAGCACTATAACACTTTGCACCAGAATAATTTACAGCACAAATCGAAAAACCATGGGCACCTAGAAATGTATTCTTCTTTGACCAATTAGAATTGACTTTCTACAAGATAATGGAAAGATAACAATAATGCTTCTGATTGGCTATTGAAAATTCTTGAAATTTTTCTAGGTGCCCACGATTTCTCGATTTCCACTGTAAATTGTCTGTCACTGTAAATTTGGCCAATATAACAAGACAAACCAAAGAAAATGTAACAAAATAGTGGTTATAGTTAACAAGAAATATGACTTTTTATCATATGACCTGTATCTGCCCGGGTGAGCGCTCTTAGAAAAACCTTCGGGAAAATGGCGTGAGCAGGGCCATACGGCTTTGAGAAAGCAGGGCTATATGAATCCGTACGGCCCTGCTCGAATCTGCGCACTTTCTTTTTTTTGATTATTTTTCTTTTCGTGAGGGTCATATGATAAAATGCTTATTGACTGAGTTAGGTTGGGCCATAAGGGAAAATATTTGGCTCTCGGTCATTTGTACGGACCTCGCTGCACTCGGTCCGTACAGCATCACCTCAAGCCAAATATTTTCCCGTACGACCCTCCCACTCAGTCAATAAGTACATATTATCTTTTACAAACCTGAGATTCAGGAGAACTTGGAAGAGAAGAGTCTAGTGATATCAGAGATGATGTAGATGATGACGGTGATGGTGGTGGCTCTTGTTTGATCTGTGTTCCTGTTGATCATATTTCAAACAAATTGGTTGGTTGCACATGAGAAAACACATGAATATGATACAACTCAAACAAAGAATATTATTCTCAAGGGAATGACACGTGGTCTGAAATGGGACAACATTACTTCAGAGCCGAGGAGGTCTATGAAAGAGCTGAAAGCATTCATCATGGCCAACAACTGGCCAGCTGTTTTTTTTTAGCCCTGGTTAGAGAACTTTTCTTTTCAAGAATATACCTAAAGATTTAACTGTGTCTTCTGATATTGCCCACATATCATCACCAATATTCTGAAGAAGCTCACTCAAATCATCTGTATTGACCTAAAGAACCAAAACAGAAATAAACATTAATGATGAAAAGGTAAATTATACACCGTGAAAAGATGAAAAAACTTACTGACGTTTCGGACGCTAGTCCTCCGACTATAATTTACCTTTTCATCATTAATGTTTCATTAGAAACACTGACGCAGCTCACACTAGTTTTTAGCTAGTTATATCTTCTTAGAAAAAAAACATTAATTAACTGAATAAATATTCTTGATATTCTGAATAACAGTAATAATACAAGACATGAAGACTGCATCCCAAAGTAACTGAGCTGAATATGAATCATGAGCAAAAAAATCCAAAATATGGTGTAACAATAATGCTTCCCTAACACATAACATGCTGTGATCCAGCTATAGAAGACTGTATCCTACAAAGTAACTGAGCTGAATATGAATCATAAGCAAAAATATCCAACATATGGTGTAACAATAATGCTTCCTTAACACAAACCATTCTGTAATACAGCTATTGTATATAAGACTTTATCCTACAAAGTAACTGAGCTGAATATGATTAATGAGCAGAAACAATATTAATACTACATATGGACTGGTATAACAATCCTTCTACCCAAACAAAAGACAAGCTGTGATCTATCAACAATGCAGACTATTACAAAAGGAAAAAGATTAAGGGAGTTTGGTTTTGAAATTCACAATTATATATGACTTCTAAAAATAAAAATAAAAATGTACGGTTCATAATAAAAAAATAGATTAGAATATAAGAAGTCCAATATAATCTACAGACAACGTGAATAATTAATTCTCCCACATTTATATGTACAAAAGTTAATTAAAATTAAAGCAATTTGCTTTCGAAATGCAATTTGGGATCTGGCACTTGAATTTTACAAACTAATGCTAAAAGATTTGGTAGTTTAAGATCAGAGACAGTTAATTCGTTTTGGTAAAGGTATGAAAAGAAGATCACTGAATTGGTTCGTTATCAATAATTGTCTGTCTAAAGAACCTCCCCAAAGCAGGTAAACTTTTTATTAATTTAGAGCATATGGGATAGCATTTGCACCTGTATTTACACCGTAAAGAGAAACCTTAAAAATCGATTGATTAAATGAAATAAGCTTATTCTGCAACTCAATAAGACCTCTTAAGCTTTGGCACATGATGTTTTCCCATTACAGAGCATGTGTCATTCCCTAGAGTATCATTTCTTTGTTTAACGGATGCAAACAAGAAAAAACCTGAATATCGATACAACTCAAACAAAAAATCTTATTCTCAAGAGAATGAAAAATCTTATTTTCAAGAGAATGAAACATGGTCAGAAATAGGAAAACATTATTCCCAAGCTAAAAATGTCGATATATTTTTGGACTACACTTCTACGCACACGGTAATGCAGTTTTAATTAACAGCTTATAGAATAGTGACTTCAGGTACTAGGATATACATGCGCTTGTAACAATATAAAAAAGAAAAAATAAGGTATCAAAAACAAAAAAAGAGGAAATATATAGATAAATAAGGAAGACGTTGTTTCATAATTATCGCCAAAATATTTTCCCCATAATTTAGTTGTTTGGACTTATAGTCTTAGACAAAATAATATCGTTAAATAATAAATTTAAACAAAATAAAAAATATTTAGATGTCAGATATAATTCACAAGTGATTTATTTTGACAAAAGATTAATAAAGACATTTAAATTAAGAGATCTAAGTACACAAATGAATCAAAAAGTAACAGGAAATAGTTGCCACACACTACTGTTTCCATGTGAATTAATTAATTCAAAAAAAATCGTTAAAGGGACCCATTAAATATACCATTGTTTATTGTTCCTAAGGCTTTTATTTTGGGGATAAAGAATTTCTCGAGTTTTAGACAAAAATTTGGTACATATTTACCAAAACATTTTCTATAGGCGAGAAAAAACAGAGTTTTATAGTTGGATAGAGACCATAAAATTTAAATATGGTAGTTTCTCAAATGTAATCTAGAGTACGATTGCGTCATGAAGAACCCAGATGTAAATTTACCTCGAAATTCTCACTTAAATTCTACGAGCTTCTTTGAATTAAAAACACCATCAGTTACGCTTGCTTCAACTAAAATAAAGCGATCGGAAGTATTTTTTTATGCTTTGAGGAAATAGTTTCCGTGTTTGTTGGAGCCTGATCAAGGCACGCTCATTATATATGCAGAGGTCGCCATAACTAAATCGTCTTTCAAATAAACTTCCTCAAAACCGAAACAGCGTTTATTATCTCAATTTTAAGCTCAGACATCCCAGAACTCTAATAAATTTGGGTACGTTATACTTTTTTCTAGTATATTAACGAAGTGTTTTGTAAGAAACTTAAGCTTTACGTGTTTTTAAAGGAAACTAATTTGAATCTGCCGACACTTCAGTAACGACAAAGCCAAACGATTCCTTCAGTTTTGCATTATTTTTTCTGCACTTACTTCCATGTCTTGGTCTTTATCACCCAGTATACCACCATTCTGTTCTAGTTTTATATCCGAAAGACCGTCTCCTGTGTACCAAACATTGATATTTTAATTCAAAAATATAACAAAATTCAAACAGCTGATGAAAGCAGAGTTCGCGTGAACAAGAAAGTCCGTAGAAAAACTCACCCCAATCTTCAATTCCAAGTAAGTTATCCACGAAAAAATTCGTATCTGGCTCCGACCAAGGAAGAATCTCTTCCTGGGACATCATAATGTGTTAGAATAGTTTTAAAATGCCGTGTTTTTGGGCAGATTTTGGTCGAGTTTTTATCAGTGAAGCTGCTCGATGTACACGTACAAGTTACTTGGAGTGTGACAGTGTTGGACCAGGTTACGCGCGGTCATTATTGTTGGAGGGTAATTTATTCATGGTACACAGCCAGCTGGGATGACAATGGAAGTCGGCAGAAGAAAAAAAAAGGAAAAAAAAAAAAAATAGAAGAAAGGTCATAATTTTTTTGTATTGAAACGTGTGGTTTAAATCACTTCAAAAAAGTAAAAGTCACCGAAAAGAAAAGAAAGTTAAAGCGAAAAAAGAAAGAAAAGAAAGGGAAAGAATAATCAGGGAAAACATTTTGTTTTCTACAACACATTTTGTCTAACTTTCTCGGCCGATTCCTAGGACAGGTGCTTGGGAACAAAACTATGAAGTAAAACTGTCCTAGCAGCTGAGCACACAAAGGCAGTCGAACCTACGTAGTCGGTAAACTTTGTTAATGACTCATGATTCTAACTCACAGTAACGATGTGTTTTAATGTGAATTGAACAATCTGGACGAAGTATTAGTGATCATTTGAATATCGGGGTCCACATTTGAATTGTGGCAAGAGAATATGAAGTCTTACTTAATATTCTCTTGATTGTGGCTAATCCATTGGCTGACGTTAAGTTATTTATGTCGATCCCAGGAAGGGTCGTTTGGGTACGGCAGTACCCCTCTTCAAGTTATCCAGGATTTTCTCAATGAAATCTGAAAATGTAAAATTTGGTCATAACTTGTGATTTGGGGGGGGGGGGGGGGGGGGGGGGGGGGGGAATTGTACGTGCCAGTGGCCCAAGTCCAGGCTCACTCGCCTCTCACCTCTGGAGTCTAGTAAAGGAGTTTTTTTAGCTTTTCATCACGTGTGAGCGGAGTTTGTTAGGTCTCTCCCTTGATGCAAGAGTTTTTCTTCAGGTTCAGTTGGGTTTCCTCCATTCCCTCGCACCTAGACCAAGAGGCGTGTAAACCTATACACACTCGCGCGACCAATTACGCAAACGAACGCGCAATTTTTCAATTTCTTATCCCCCTTTATGAGTTAGCCGTGCCCTAACTTAGATCAGCCCAAAGCCAGTTATTTCATCAGGGTATTGATAAAATTTGACATTCATACAAGTCTAAGGGCATTTCCAGTTTGAGCACACAGGACAGAGACTGAAAATAATGATACTAGTTAAGATAAGTTAATTAAGATAGTTGGATAAGTTAAATCAAGATGGAAATACCGCTGAACATATTGTAGCGGTTTTTCTTCAATCATATAAAGACCACTGATTGCGTCACTTTCAGCCAGCAGGCCAGTATTTATTTGCTCTTCAACGAAAACTACAAGGATCGAGTATAGCTATGGCGGTTTAAAACTGGATAAGGATGTGAATTGGAGTTTTTAAATGGTATAGGGGGATCGGAGGGGGGTCGGAGGGGGGTCGGAGGGGGATCGAAGGGTGGTTGGAGGGGGATCGTACATGGGTACACAAAAGAATTCCAAGTCACACAGCGCTTTTACAGCGCTTTTAAAATAAACATAATAGAAAACTATGGCCAATTTTTGTGCAACAGACCAGGGGGGTGGGTGTGGGGGGACCAAGCGAATCCACCACTCCCCCTTCTCGATATACGATGAACGGTCACTTTTGTTCGACCTCCCCCACGGGCTTAAGATAGGACTGAGACATAACCAGTAAAACATATGAGATATCTTAGTTAACTTTGATTAGGGTTCATCACACGTCCCATAAACAGCATCGCATTTGTCGTCTTGTCTCGAATGAAGAAAAGAAAAGGGCGATCCGCCTTCATGGTTTTCTTAGGATTTGCAATCAACATAATCGATAAATCCTCGGAAGGCACTCGGGGATTCTCGGTTCCTGTTTCGCTGGCAGCAACGGACAGTTCCTGCCATATAGATCGTAGCTTGCCTTTTTCCCGCCCAGGATTCGCAGAGGTCGGAATTCCGCTTCGTAAAGATGCTGTGAACACCTAACTCTTTCAAAGACACACCAGCATCAAGCAGGATAGAAATATTGAACTTTGGGNGGGGGGTCGGAGGGGGATCGGAGGGGGATCGAAGGGTGGTTGGAGGGGGATCGTACATGGGTACACAAAAGAATTCCAAGTCACACAGCGCTTTTAAAATAAACATAATAGAAAACTATGGCCAATTTTTGTGCAACAGACCAGGGGGGTGGGTGTGGGGGGACCAAGCGAATCCACCACTCCCCCTTCTCGATATACGATGAACGGTCACTTTTGTTCGACCTCCCCCACGGGCTTAAGATAGGACTGAGACATAACCAGTAAAACATATGAGATATCTTAGTTAACTTTGATTAGGGTTCATCACACGTCCCATAAACAGCATCGCATTTGTCGTCTTGTCTCGAATGAAGAAAAGAAAAGGGCGATCCGCCTTCATGGTTTTCTTAGGATTTGCAATCAACATAATCGATAAATCCTCGGAAGGCACTCGGGGATTCTCGGTTCCTGTTTCGCTGGCAGCAACGGACAGTTCCTGCCATATAGATCGTAGCTTGCCTTTTTCCCGCCCAGGATTCGCAGAGAGGTCGGAATTCCGCTTCGTAAAGATGCTGTGAACACCTAACTCTTTCAAAGACACACCAGCATCAAGCAGGATAGAAATATTGAACTTTGGGATGCTGACATCGATATTTGTTAACTCGAGTTTGGAGACCCATCGCTCAATAGTACCAGGCCACAGCCTCTCCTCCAATGTCCTCAAAGACTGATCTTCGTAGGGCAAAACAATCACCATGGAAACGTCAGCGGGAGTATAACGAGGATCCCATGAATCTCCTACGAAGTCTTTCCCATAGTTAAGTTCGATAACCTGACACCTGTATTTTCCATCATTGAAATAATTTAGTTGGTTTTCGTCAGACATTAACCCCATAAAGTCAACCTGAACTTCCTTATCTGAAATGCCTTTTTGCCTTGGAATGAAGAAAGATGAACGCTTGAAAACACTAAACGGGATCTCCCAGTGCGCCTTGAACACCGCCTTGTTGACCAAATTCCTCCTCGTATCTCCATTCCTGAAATCTCTCATAACCTCATTTCCTTGCAGCTTATAATTGGTACTTTCAACACGCATTTTAAAATCGTCCTTCCCCAACAGGGTGTTTTCAAATTTCACATGGACACCATCTTTTCGCTTGTCTATAATCTGTTCATGTAGTTTCTTCATGTCTTTAAACAGTGCCCTTGAATTCAGCTCCAGTAATTCATTCAACTCTTCCAAAGTCTTTCTTCGAACTTTAACTCCTAGCTTGGTCGTTTCTATCGCCATTGCCAGACCAATTGGAGAAAATACGACATTGTTATTGTCTCCACTCGAGAGGATCAGATAAAGCTGAATTCCAAGGTTGTTGCAGCTTTGTGCAGCCTTCGAATTCGACGCCATGGCGGGACTTGCTGAGATGAGCGCGCCATCTGCGTGAACGATCAAGGACAAAGCAAAGAAAACTGCTGCAAATCCTCTTCTCTGTTCTGTAGCCATTATAAGGCCAGGACGAAAGGAATAGAAGTGATAGTGATGTCACAGTGGACAATAATACTTGGTTGTGGATCGAGAATGTGAAATACTAGACCCAGTTTCTTGATCGTATCAGTTAAGACTTATTACGTTTGATCGGAAACCGTCTTTAACACTTGTGGATAACTGACACTTCAACTCATTTGAACAAGTCGATCGTCAACTGATGTCATTTTTTTGTCTAATGACCACGGATGGTTCAAGGAGTTCTAATTTTCTGGATGGTTTAGCTCTTGGTCAGTCGACTTGCGCAAATTCTGCAAAAATAGCGTTTAACTTTAGAAGTGCCTTGAACTAAAAAACTCGATATATTATGCTTATGTAAGAATATCGATCTCATTAGCTTCAATTTTTTATTGCACTTCCAACCCGTGTTTTAATTACTTTCACGAAACTTTGTGTAACCTATAGCCTCCTTTGCAGCCGTCCTTAGGGTCGTCACGCAACGTTGCGTGACGGCCCTAAGAACGGCTGCGAAGGAGGCTATGTAACCTATAGCGCAATTTGAAAAAATGTTGCGAGACAAGTTGCAGCAATCGTTGCGGAAAGTAGAATTCGCTCCTACTTTGGTAACGATCGAGTCTCCCGTTGCACCGCGTAAACACTCTTGCAACTTGTGTCGCAACGCTATTGCGAGACAAATTGCAGAGGAAATTGCTCCGTGTAATCGGGCGAGTTTTAAAAGCGCGCAGGTTGAAGCTGATCAAATGTTTCCTTTCACTGTCACTCACCTCTCGACAAACCTTCTTTATTGCGAAGAGAAGAGATGGTCCGTTACTTCGCTCAACAACTAGGAAAATATTTGCACTTGATGTAGAAATACAAGCAGTCGTTTTTTGTAACTTGCACAGGCTTTGCAATAAGAAAAAATTGCCGCGTGCGCGGAATGGCAATCAACAGCTGGCATAATGCATTTGGTGAGCTGCAACTTGTAATTACTCAGACTAACGTTATCTTCCAAGTGACGTTAAAAACACATGGAAATAATTATTCGTAATGCTTTGGTATTACCCTGGGTGCCAGAGGCCGTGTGGGACTTGGGGGCGAGAGAGAGAGAGAGGGAGGAGGGGGCCCCCTCCTCCCTCTCTCTCTCTCTCGCCCCCAAGCCCCACACGGCCTCTGGCACCCAGGGTACTTTGGTATGAAGAACGAGCACTGATGTCTCACGCGTAGAGGATTATTTTTTTGTCATTTGGACTGATAAACGTCATGTGCGCCCGTGATTTGTAAAAATCCCTTTGTTCTGGCATCTGTTTCCGAAAACACAGATCAAATTCATGATACTAAAACTCATAACAAAGGAATTTGATCATCTTTACAGCTTTGTTTCTGCTTAATATCACATGAAGTGCGAAAAGTTGATATGGACACAATTACTTATCCGCTCGAAATAACTAAACGATAAAAACTGATAAAGGGATCTAGCCTAATCACGAAAAACACATCAAAATATAATTTCGACAAAAATAAATAAATTTAAATAAGTTGATAGCATCAAAAAATAGTAATGAGAAGCGGTCCACGAGGTAAAAACAAACACGATAATTAAAATGCTCTATTTTTTTCGCGAGATAACCATCTGATCTTTTATCTGTACGATATGGCTGATTTATGAAATTTAGCAGGCGTTGTTTTATCAGTATGGCCACTGGAAAGTAAGTTCGATCATCCTCGAGTGTTCCATTAGCGGATTTAAGAGGGGAGGGGAGGGTAAGACAGCTCTTTAGACACTTCCAGAATGGACACAGGCTTGCATTGTCTGTGGTATTGAGAAAAGTGATGTTCTGAAGTCGGTTTGTCAGGTCCAGGTTCTTCTTTCATTCGAACTTCTTCTCAATGCTGAAACAGTTTCCGAGCCCTAAAATGCTTTATTAGACATCGTAATGTCTATAAACTTTGTCTTTAGTAAAAAAAATATGAAAGCCGATTAAGTGTGAAAGCTAAAAAACTGTAGCTTTGAGAGCATTCATTAATTTGAAACGTTTTGTTTCGCTAAGTACTATAGTACTGCACGGTGGTAACTGGCCTCTGGGGATGACTTCCACTCAGGTTTCTTTCTCAAGACTACGGCTCAACCGGACGGTAACATTTCACAATATACTATAATACTATAAGCCAAGTGTCAGTGCATAAGAAAACAAATTGCTAAAAGATTTAGGATAAGAAGAATTTCGACTTTTCCGGCCCTAAAGCGAAATGAGATATGAACTTCATAAGTGAGATAGATTAACTCCTTCAAAAACCATTAACAACCGTTCACTCACGAAAACAATTAACCTAAAGTACTGGTAATATTGACAACAGCATTCCAATACTGACATACATGCTAGAGGGTTCTGCGACCAATGCTTTAGCATTCGCAGCGCTGTTTCATCATATATATCTACAACAACTGTAGCATTATATATATGTAACAATATATATATAAAATATCTCATTCATCTATCACTGATATCTAGCACAAAAATTTGATTCCTTAGAGAAGCATATCGTTCATTCTTTTCCCAAAACGTTTTGATTACTGCTTCAAACAATCGGCATCAGTTTTGAAAAAAAGGCATAATCTGCTAATAAGTCCCCTATAGATATTCTAGAATCTACCAAAACCAGTTTTTTTTTTTTGAGTATTTTCTTTTCTTTTTCGACAAAGTGTTGCAACAAGTGAACATTTCAACGAAAATTCAAATGAGTTCCTTCGTGTACATTTTCGTAGTTGAGTGTTAAGGCATAAACGAACGAACAACAATGTACTCAGTGCGTTTCTTCTAATCTTATTACTAACGTTTAGTTTCGTAATGTTTGTAATTGTTTATTAAATTTATATTCACGCCCAGAAGCGATTCCCTGTGGTTTGAGATAAGCACGCTCACTTTGAACAGCGAGGAACCTTGTGTTGCCTTCCTCGTGGAATGAATGACACTTAAATCTCGAAAATTCTTCAAACACTTCAGATGTTTTACAGGTTCCTACTGAAAAATTTAATGATTTAATTTACTTTGCTAGTCTTTTCAATATGCACAAATATCTCAAAGAACAAATACTTTTGTACCATACAGTTTCTATAACAGCCACTTTTAGTCAAAACAACACAGCAGAAACAATTTCAGTTGTTTCGCAACGCTGAACAAATAATAAAAGATGTTGAGAGAAGTTGAAGGGTTTGAAGAAAAAACATGTATCATAAGCTCGTATCGTTCGGCATGATAAGTTTCCGCTTAAATAAAATCTATAAATTAGCGTTTTTTTCAGCGCGAGAAAAAATGTAGAATGCAGTGGCGACCTTTGCATTGCAGGTTGTAGTTCGCGTTCTGCACACAAATTTTACTTAAAAACGTCTTGCAGCGGGGTTTAAAAACAAGCAATCTTACAAAACCTTGAAATAAAACCTTTAAAACCTGCCTTCGACAGATTTCCTTTTCTTCAAATGACAAGCTGGAGTAAATGACTCGGTATAGAGGAAAACATCGCGTGATTCTATCTGTAAAAATACTACTGAAAACCTATACAATTTAATGCCTACCAGGTAATTAGAAAGCTATCAAACCATATTGGTAGGGTTAAGTGTCACGTAATGATATTTTCGAATAAAAAAAGCTTTTGAAATTTGAAAATAACTTAATTTCCAAAGGTTAAAATGCCTTAAGTGTAAAGATATTTGTAAACTTTAAATGTCCATTTCTAGAAAATTSTTATATCTAATAGGAAAAATGGCTGGATATTTTGTGGATTGGACCAAGAAAAAAATCTTATGGTTTATTCCTTTCGACTACGAAGAAAATGCCGATAAAGTTCTCGCAAAAATAGTTAAAAATTATGTCTAATTTGTTTTAGTTCTCAAGGTTTAGTGCTGAATATATTTCTTTCAATAACACATAACAACAAATCAAAACTAAGGAATTTCAATAAAATAACCTCACCATTTTCAGCTTTTTCTTTTTATTGCAGTAAATTTATGTATAACAGAATTTTGAAATCGTTCGAGGATATAAATTTAAATATAAAGAATCAATGTCTTTTTCTTGAATATTGAACGATGAATAAATAACACAGTTGCCTGCCTTTGCTTGACACAAATTTCAAAAATGCCAAAGTTGGAATTTCAAAACAATTTACAAAGAATATATTTTTAAGTTTTTGAGCTTAATAATTTATTTCTAAATAAATTTATAATGCATTTATTGTTATTTACTAGTGATTTATATAATATTTGATGATCATGGTAACCACTATATAGATATTTATTGTTAGGTATTAAGGAGCTGGTTGAATTTTTGAATGTAGCAAGACAAGGCAAACGAACGGCAAGAATTGAAAGAACAAGAAAAACGACAACTTAATCTAATATCTAACTTACAAAAGACCAACATTTAAGACCATTCAAGATTTGTAGGAGAGAGGTAGCGTGAAAAATTGGTAAGCCTTTATCATATTTTTGAGCAGAAAAATCCCAGCAGAAACGACATCTCTTTTGATAGCAAATAGTCAACCTTTTTGCAAAGCTTTTGAAAAAACGGAAAAAATGGGAAAACTCTCCGGCCCCCATTTTTCAACTATCTTCTTCCTCTATAATAAACAATGGATGGTCCTTCAGATGTAACTAGAATAACCTCTATCAGATCATTTTGATAAAATCTGACATACAGTAAATCTGGTCTACACAACCTAATATTGTTGAAAATTTCTAACAAACTTCAAAAGAGTGAAAAACCATATATCAGAGAAAAACTTTGTAAGAAATTCCACACATTTACACAAATTAGTAAGTTCATTAGATCTCAGTAAACCGTAGACCTACAAAACTTTGCACTAATTTGTACAATTTTGTAAGATAACTTTTTCACAGATATATGGTATGCACTCTGATAAAATATTATTATTCTGACAGGAAGTAGAAAAACAATGAAAAATTGTGTAATATGAAAATATCTAAAAAATATTGAGTTTCTTCTAAATTGTTTTCCTATGACCGATTCCCTTCTGTATACAATCTTGGCACTGACTACACTAATGCATCTTTCTTTGTTTTGTCTAAGATTTCCTGTAACATGCCTGCTGGATGAGTCAAGATCTATATCTCTGTACATAGCTCCTTAAGTGTGACATCAATCATAAAATTATGGGGAAACGACTTCAAGGCCCAAAATGAAAAGCAGCTCTATAAAGATTGTTTTTACTTTTTCTTCATGAGAGGATTTTTTGAGTGCAAAGGTTCAATTATTTCAATGGAGTTTTTCTCATTATTATATTTAATGGTTTTTGTAAGCAACTGGACCCGGTAATACATGACAACTTAAAAGCTTGATATCTTTTTAGATTAAGGTATTAAGTATCTGAGAATCACATTTTTCTGCAGCTATTGTAATCTTAAATTATTGCTTAAACAGCTGACATGCACCTATTTTTAAAGATATTATTTTTAAAAATAACATTCTGTGAAGATCCACTAAGTTGTTATGGCAACAGAGAGTATTTCAAAGCAGTCAGTGATTATTTTTGTCCTGGCTCAAATGAGAGCTTTCAATCATTACCAAGCTCTATTTTTACCAAGGAAATCAAATCTAGGTTGCTACGACAACTAAAAGGCTTGGCAAACAGTTTCAATGGATTTGATTCATCTTGTCAACATGAACAATAGAAAATTATTTTTAAATGCACTAAAGTTCATATCTAATCCCTGAAAAATGTTTGCATGGTACTTAAAACTAGTTGGAAAATCTTGATCATATTTCACCAAATTTTAGAATTTTTACATCATTCAAACTGAAAATTTGAGCCTTTTACAGGTTATAAAGAAAAATGTATGAGTAGTAATAAAACAAAAATAGCTTTCAGATATTCAACTTATTAATTTTAGTATGAATCACAATGTTAATCTTCCTTTACAGAGCCAGTTTGATACTTCATGTAAGACTACAAGAAATGGCTGCCATTATTCCGTAATAAAGTCTCAAAAGGATCAATAGATATGCTGTCGTAAATTCAATATTATAACATTGTTAAGTAGTGAACCGACTAAAATTTCTACCCAAATTTTCTTATTATTGTTGGTGCCAAAAGGTAGGAATGTCATGTATGGTATATTATTCTATTCTTACCAATAAATGTACTCGCAGTTGCATGGTGATCCATGTTTTCATATCATACCCAAAGTACCATATGACTAAAGCCTTGCAATAAAGTTTGAATTTTAAGATTTCAAATGTGGCCTGTATCCATAAATGTGGTATTCAGTAAACAGTAGACCATGTTATTTGAAATAAGTGTATATCATAACGGACATAATGTTTCAGGTAAGGACAGCTTGATTAAAAGAAAGTCTAGTTCAGAGCTGGACTCACTTTGTATGCAGCGAAGACGAACTCAGTAGAGGAAATAGACTGGTAAAAATATTGTAAACCTAATGATCACAGTATTTCCTATGATTTTTAAAAAAATATAACTAGAGAAAGTCTAGGTTACAACTAATTATAGACCTCAAAAAAATTTATTACTCAAAACTAAAAATCACGGGAAGTATTTAATGAAATTACAAGAGAAATTCAAATCATTTTTGAAAAGCACAGCAAACAGCAAATGTCGTTATAATTACTGTATGTACAGATGAATAAATATTTGATTTCTATCATCAATAAGCACCATAACTTATCATAAAATCAATTATTAAAATTGGCTCACATTGTTTGAGCCTCAAAAAAATTTTTTTCTGAATTATTTCTTTTATTATTATAACAAAAAATGTTTAAAGAAAAGTTCGGAAAATATTAACAGTATAGAATTGACAATAATAGGAAAAATTTTGAGTTTCCAAATAATTTGTCAACTATGTGTGAATAAACTGTGAGGTATATTTAATGAATTTTTATTCAATACTGCATGAATGGAATAAAAATCTATACAAAAGAAACATATGTTTTCATTAATTTTTAATAGCTTTGATTTTTTCAGGCTATATTGACAATATCTTTGGGATTAGTTTTGGGTTTTTTTTGTTTATATTCAAAAAAGTTAATATGCTCGAGAACAATAATTAAAACTAGTTTTCAAAAACACTTGAATGAAAAAAATGAATCCTATTATTAACCTCATGTACAACTCATTTTGAAAAACATTTCTACCAAATTAGTTCAAAACTATTTATTTTTTCATGAAAAATTATCAACCTCAAAATGTACATGAGACATTTATAATCTACATGTTAATTCCACTAATTCTTTTGTACATGTAGATGAATCCCTACTATCAATATATATGTGCACCAAAATAGTTTCACTTTCAAAGTATAAATTTTGAGAGAGTTCTTCGATATTGTTTAAAACATATCTTACTTTTTTCAAGCAGGGAATAATAATTATTATCCACTTATATTTCTCTCACAGCTGAAAACCTATCTACACGCACATGTATATAATGTGGTTCTCTTACGTTGGATTTTTATCTGTAAATTTACAAACACTGAGCTCTCGTTGGTATAATACATGTGGAACTCTAAACATGGTATTGATATCAACTTTTTGTGTGAACAGAACTGAATAATCATCTTGTCCAGGTCTGAATAATATTGGTCAAAATATCTTATGCTTCAATTGAACAAAGGATATATCAATCATAAGCCAAGCCCACATCTGTTTTGAATAAACAATTTGCAAGGATGGACATTTTAATTTATGCATAATACACCCACCTCTTCCCTAAAGAATCTAAATCCTTTACAATGACTTGCCTACAGGGTTTTTTGATTCTTATTTTTAAATATATTTCGTTTTTGGCAGGAAATTTGGGCTGGTGAATCATTTTGACATGCAGGCTTAGAAATCATGGATCAACTACGATTAAACGTCCTTTAGATGATAATTATAATAAATTACCTCAAGGCAAATCCCAAGTTATCGGGATCTTCCTCTGTATAGTGCATTCATTGAGAATTCATCATGAATTCTTTGGGTCATGCTGGCTTGTCTTTGAGGTCACACTTAAGATGACACTTGTGGCCAAAGGTGTGTAAGTGTGAGTCACTCATACAGGGTTGTCAACTCTCCTGGATAAACCGGGAGTCTCCAGATTTTGGACCGTATCTCCCGGTCTCCAGATAAGAGTCTCAATTCTCCCGGATAATCGCCGAAGCTGACCATTTCTTGTGAGACTCGACTTTCACAACCATAATTAAAATTCCAATTATTTTGTGTTGTTTGTGTTATTTTACATCGCTAACAAAATCAAAACGTTCCTCATAAACTGTTCTTGCAAGCAGGCCATTGTAATATAAGCGATAATCTGATTGGTCAGAAATATACCAATCACATCAAATGTTACAAAGCGAAAGACGTCTTTTTGCGCGCTTTTTGACGCGCTGTGACGTCATTTCCCTTCCCTATCAATTCTCCAGATTTGAATATCTTGGGGGTTGACAGCCCTGCCCATACCAAGCACAAAGAGGTTTGGAGTTCATTTTTCTTAGCTAGTTTCATGTCATATCTAGTCGTTACCATCATCTGTTCCAGATAATGAAAGAAACTTAATCCAGTGATCAGTTTTGGAGCAGATGACGATGGTACCATCCCGAAGTACTGTAATATCGCTAGGCTTTCCATCTAAAACATACTTGCTCATATACTGCCCACTTGTGGTGTACATCTGAATGCTCTTTGTACTCACATCACATACCAGTAAGTTCTCGCCCGTAGGGTCCAATGCAATTCCTGTGGGTGATGTCAGTTCACCATACTCATTTCTACTTCGTCCATTTCCTCGCCGCAACATTGAACCCCATGCACCAAACTGCCGTACATAGTTCCCTTGCTCATTATACACAACGACACATCCTTTGGCAGTATCTGAGACAAAGTATTCCCCTCGGTGGTAAATGGCTTTGAATGGTGAAGATGTAAGACTACTGCCGTAGCAAGGGAATTTCAGTACCGCTCGCTGTGCATTAATATTATTATTGGCACCATATATACACACGGCAGACTTGTAGAACATTGATGATGGCTCACTCGTGACAATAAGGCGACCCGTCTGATCACATGTGACAGATCGGTGACGTACCCCATGATCTGTTGTTTTGAAATTGCCCGAGATTTTCCCAGTGTTTGGGTCAATGTGCAACAACTCCTTAGAGCTGTACACTGTAATGATTTCCCCATCCCCTGTGAATGCTACTCCTGAGTAAGGCAAAGATCCTGAAGCAATTCTCTTTTTAAGTCCTCCTTGTCCATTTAGCACTAGAATTCTATTGTTGTCCGGCTCTGCTACTGCAATATCGCAAGTAACCGGGTTCGATGCAATAGCTACTGGAGAAATTGTCTCTAGCCCAATAACACTTCCCAAAATCGTACGAGTTATACAAGCCGATTGAAAAACAGGGAACGAGAGATCTAGAGCCGATATGGTTGATGAACTAGAATTCATAGCTTCTACGGAATTCACAAAAGAACCATTTGTTCGCTGCAATGAGCTTCCATTGAGACTTGAGAACGAATCACTCCTTCCAACATCGTCTGATAACTCAAAATCTATCTCCGTCCCAGTTTTAATTCTTCCAAATCCTTTACGAAGAGAAACAATTTTCTCAAACCGTGTTAAAAGAATAATAGAGTGGGGTTCTTCTGTATAGATTTTCTTTGCCCTGTTTTTGACAGTCTTTCCCTCCTCAATGAGGCGTTCTTTCATCTCGACTATTTTCGGTCCATCGCTATTTTTTAAAACCGCCTCCGTCTTAGACACGAAGTCTCTCAATTCTTTTCTAATTCCTTCGCATTCTTCTTTCCTTTTTTCATATCCTAGAATTTCCATATCTTTAGCAATGATATCATCTATTTTACTACACAAGTCTTTCTCTTGTTTTCGGATGAATTTTACTAAAGAAGTCGCCGTTGACGTGATTTCACTTTTGAGGGTTTCGCATCGTTCAAGTCTCTCCTGCTTCTGATTTCCAAGCTTTCGAAGGTCCCTCTCGACAGTTTGCAGCTCATCCTTCATAGTTTCCAAACATCTTCGTAGCTCGATTCTTTCTAACCGTCCCGGTGAGGCCTCCAACAGTTTCACGATCAAACAATTTGTCGGAAAACCACTCACTCCTTCGCTTGGAATATTCGACTCCTTTCGACACACAGGACAGCGTATTTCCCTCTCTTCTTCAACTACTATCTTCTCCAGACACTTTTTGCACACATTATGAGCACAATTAGGTAGTGTCTTAGGCTCCAGGAAGTCTTCTAAACAAACAGGACAGGTACATTCATCGCTTATTACTCCACTAAGAGTTTTCTTGGCCGCCATGTTTGTCAATGCAGAATAAAGAATACTCCACCCCACTAGGACTCCCACAGGATGTTTCGTTCAACCGGAAGTGACGGATTCAATAACAAAAGCATGGTCAGACATCCCTCTGGGGAAAACAAAATTAAAAGACTTCGACATTTGTTTGGGTTAGGTAGATAAGTCTGTTAAAAAGAGTTTTGACGACAACACGCGTGGCAGATATTGGAAAGGTTTTAGCACAAAGATCTTGCGTAGCTTAATGCGTCATAAATAGTTCTATATATATAGTGATAGACAGAGAAATATCGAACTCATATCCGGTAAGCCAAGAATCCTGTAATAACTGACTAAACACGTACCGACAAAGTCTCTATTGTTCCCCGAGAACAATCGATTAAGTCTGCCAATGTTGTTGTGTTTTGATTATAGCTAATTCTGGGATTCTATCCAGTGAAGTGCCCGTAGTGCCGTGTGATGCGCGCGTGATATGAAGGCCAACCTGAGACCGTTGGTGAAGTTACGATGATAACTTATGAGGATGAAGAGGATGATTATGACGACTGACACTAAAAAACGGATGCGAGGGAGACTAGAGGAGTGGCAAATGATCTTGATAAAGAAGATGATGATTACCTTAAAACGTTATCTGATACCATTGGTGAAAGTACGATGATAACTGATGAGGATGGTGATGAAGAGGAGGAGTGGCTAATAAACTTAATAAAGAAGATATCGTTGGTGAAGGTACGATGATAACTGATGAGGATCGGTGATGATGATGAGGAGTGGCTAATAAACTTAATAAAGATGATGATGATGAACTTAAAACGACAAATGACTGAACATTTAATTATGTTGATGATGATGTCATGAAGATAACACTTATGAGTGATAAACCCTAGAGTACATACCTTGAGGATAGGCGGAAAAGGCATGTAATTTCCCCATCAATCTATGGAATGTGATTACTGATCATTGGACTCCCGGGTAGAAGGGGCTAAGCCAAACTAGCACAAATCAAAAATTTCCAGTTGGAAATTGAAACGTCACTCTTCAAATCCCTGATCCACCCCCCCCCCCTGTAAGTAACCAACTGTCAAAACTAATCCTTTAAAAGGTTGTAACGCATAATCTTTTCTAATCTACACGCCAGTAACACAGAAGTAACCAGACGAAAGACTGTTAAGCCGGCAAGCTAGGCTTGAAAGTGATATTTATTTAGCCTGCCCTGAAGGGATTACTTGGATTTTCAGCACTTACCGTCGATTAAAGTCGTTCCCAAAGTATTTATTTTTATTTATTTGACCCTCCAAAAACTGGACGTTTTTATGGTCCCGTGGGGAGATGGGAACATCACCTTTTCAAGACCCAAACAACGTCCGAAAAGTGTTTCGTATCAAGGGGAGCGCAAAACAGAAGGAATACTGAGGACCACTTTAGCAAGCAATATCACTGAAGTAAACTGGAAAGTGTTTGACTAAATGACAACTAGAATACCGTGGGGGAGGGAAGAGGTGTGTACGTGGCGTGATTGCGAAAGTCAACGTGTTCCTAAACCGAATACTGTACAGTAAAGGTCGAGCCGTTTTGTCTCGCGTGCTGTCCAGCTGACTGAATAGAAAATGATARAAATTCTAGCTATTTCGAGCCAATTCGGTAAGCGGTCCGAACTGACGAGTAACAGGTCCCTTGTATACAGTCTTGTGCTGGGTTTGGGGCAGATACATAAAGGACAGGATGGAGGTGAGCAGCGAACATCATTGTCGGCGTAGTTCTCTCATTTCAGATCACGTGCCATTCCCATCAATATATCTACATTTTTTTCACTATTGAAAATGGCGGGAAAACAGTACGCCCAATACCGAAGGGTCTATTATAATCTACCCTCTGTTCTATGTACTATCAATGCAATGATCACTAGTCCTTCTGGGTCTCCTAGTTTATTCCCCTGTACACATGGGGACCCCAACTAAATTGAAAGTTAGATAATGGAAAAGAATGGAAAATATTCATGCTTATGAATTTAAATCATACAAAACTATTCATTCCACAATAAAATAGTTTTGGCGAAGACGAAATCATAAATCTTTTTCTTTCTTGTGCTCCTAGCTAGATTCCCCATGAATTCTCCTGTATTGGCTACAGAGCTTGTTTACTCTCATAAAATGAGAGTTTAATTCTAAATTATTTCTAATTTTATCGTTGTTATTTTTGGTTGTTTTCTCAGTTTTGGATGGAATAAAACAGCTATTTATATTCACGAGGAATTCCCTAGTAACGATAATATATTCTTATATGCTAATCCTTCCCACGTTTTTTTCAGTGTGTACATATATCATTAACCTTACCAAGATGACGCACAATATTACGTTTACATACATGGGGGAAAAAATAGCATGAATAATATATATGCCTAGATTTTCGAGTAGGGAAGCAAAGAAATGGCCTCTCGTTCGGATCCAAGGCTCGACTCTTTTCTTCCTAGTTCGACAAGTGAACGTATGGACCTCTGCTGCCCTGTCTGCCTCGAAGACTTCGAAGAGCCAAAGATTTTACCGAACTGCAAGCATAATGTTTGCAGTCATTGCTTAGAAAACATGACTCGGAGAAAGCCAGCCAAGGTGTTGTGTCCAGTCTGCCGTAATGAATTTCCACTCGATCAAAACAGCGTTCGTAATTTGGTTACAAATTCAGAGTTGATGGAGATTGTAAATCAAAGCAAAGATGAACGGCAAAAGGAGAGACTAGCGAAGGCTTTCGAGTTGTGTATTCAAAAGATGGGAGATGCAAACAAACTTCTTGAAGATCATACGATATTCACTCACCGAAGACAGGAGTATGCAGATCAGCTGAAATCCCAAATTCTTGATATGGCTGAGAAGATCATCGAAAAGATACGCGAAAAACAAGAAGAGATGTGCCTACAAGTGCAAAAGGAAGTCGAAAAACACGAACACGATTGTCACGAGCAAAGAATCGTCCTAGAAACCTTAGTAGCTGATTCTTCGGTCTTTATTTCCAAAGTTGAAGATATTTTGAATAGTGAAGAAGAAATAACCAGCGAAGCACGAAAGGATCTCTTATCAGAATCTCAGAAAATAATAGATGCAAAACTATACGAGAATTTGGCTCCCTACGATGTTGTCACTTCTAAATTCAGTCCAAATATGTCTATTCTTAGTAAAGTAGAAAAAGAGGGTTTTGGTAGGGTTTATACGACTAATGCTTCAAGTTTTCGATCAGTTCAGCATCAGAAAGCCGGTGAAACGTCTGTCAATCAACCCAAACCTCTAGAAGCACATGTTACCGTTAAAGCTGACGATCTAGGATTGGAATACTTTGCACCGCTCAGCCTTGCAACGGATGGAAAAAAGTACATCGCTGTTGCAGACCCCTCGAACAGTAGTGTTTTGCTCCTTGATAATAGTGGGCAGATGATAAAACGTTTCAAACCCCCAGGAAAAAACCCTTCTCTTCTGACATTCTCAGGCGTGGCGTTCACCAAAACGGACGATGAACTTCTCGCGGTCTGTGGCTCGACTGAAGTATTCTATTTGAGTATCAAAGAAGGTAGCTTTAAGATGACTTACCGTACGAACGAGAAATACGGCGTGAGGTATTGTTTTGCTACTGTCGCGGCAGACGGACGGATTTTGCTCACATGCGAGCCATCGGTTCGTCAGTATCGCTCGTGTATCTTTGTGTACCGCGATACTCCGTTTGGCAAACCTGATCTAATGTTTGGTCTAAACGGATCTGACAATCGTCTTGAGTTTCCATTCAAAGCTCTTTACCACGAGAATGAATACTTCGTCTCAGACATGGAGAAGGGCTGCATTTTGGTGTACGACGAACAAGGGAGGTACCGCCGGCATTTTGGCGGGAAAGAAAGGGATGCCGGTTCCTCAGATGGACTGGGATCAAGCCAGCTTGTTTTACCAACAGGAATGGCCATGTGCGCGGAGAAGGGGTGCTTCTACGTCTGTGACTGGGGGTCTAGTAGCATCCAAGTCTATAAACCTGATGGAAAGTTTATAGCAATGTTCACTATCGAAGGAAGACCTACAGATATAGTATTGCTGGATAATGGGACGGTTGTTATTAGTTCCAAAGACGATCAGTGGATAAAGTTCTACACTTTTCCTCCCTTCAGCCTCAGATAATACTCCAACCAAATTGAACTAAAAACACTCAGTCATGCTCAAGCTCGAATAATATAGGTATAGGATTCATACAAATTTGGAAGTCATAAAAAAGTTACTATTTACGACTGAATTGCTTGCTTAAAATTTTAATCACGAAACTTCACAGTTTCGGCAACTGATAGTGGAGGCCATCATATAGAGAAGGAATGAAAAATATTTCTTCTAAACAATTAGGAATGAATTGGGCGTTTTGAAAACGTCTGAGAAAAGAAAGGAAGAGTTCCCCTTGCTCAGACTGCAAAGCCGTCCTACGAGGGGAGTAAATAATAACCCAAGCTGAATGTATTTTGGAATGAGAAGTGTTGAGGGTTTCTACACTTTAGACTGAAAAGAAAAGCACTGTCATTCAGCTATATTCTAAAATGCTTGGCTGTATAGTGGTATAAATAACTGAGATGAGGCAATGGCCACCATGAATAGATATCATCAAAAAAAAAAAAAAAAAAAAAAAAAAAAAAAAATCAAAAAAAAAAAAAAAAAAAAAAAAAATCAAGAGCGTGACACTACTTAAATAAGAGATCTACAAATCCGATTGGAATCTTTCTTTTAATTGAAACAAAGTCGCATTAGAAGGAGGCGAACGGAGGTCGAAGCAAAGGCGATATCCGGCTGCTTCTCTCTCTGCTAAATGGATTTATACTACTATATGAAGATGGATTCGCAGTAAGTTCGGTCCAACCGCACAAGTAGTCCAATGTTTCTTATTTTAATCAGTAAATTTTCAACGGATTGTCTGTTCTTTCCTCTCGCAAAAATGAACATGAAAAATTCCCAATGTATTAATTACGAGATCCGCGAATAAGCATACAAAAACTAGGAAGTTCACATACTGACATCTTGACAATATATGATCTAGTACTTAACAATCATGACAGGTCTAAACCGTTGCTAGGAGATGCTCCAATGATACTAGGAGAGCAGTTCAAATAGACAGGGCTATTTTAAAGAGGTTGTCTGGATAAACAATAAAGATGGTCCATTCATTTCCCAGCCCCAGTTTTTACCAAATCCCTTAGTCCCAGCCTATGTTTTACTCAAATTTCAAGCCTTTTTTATTAAATTTTGTTTGTTTGTGAATTCCATTCCCAGTGCATAAAACCCCATTTTCCCAGCACCCATTTTATATTACCCCTTCTGAGGACCCTCAAGAAAATAGCGAAAGTATTAGCTCGTATAATAAGTAAAATATATTGGCTTAGCGCATAGGTTTAGCGTCAGGTTTTGGCTTCTAAAACTCGCTACATAAGTTATCTCGACTGCTCGTAAACTCTACAATTAATTCGACTCTTCCTGAAAAAAACAAAAAAACAAAAACAAAAACAAAAACAAAACAAAAAAAACACAAAACAAATGAGAAAAAATCTCATAAAAGAAAGTACGAGTAACTCGTACGCAAGCTACTCGACGTTGGGGGATCATTTCATCRTCTTCTAGACAGACAAAGATCACCAAGGTAGCCTCACACTAAACCAATAKTTCTAAAGTGGTTATTAATCTTCCTAGAGGGGGAATTGTCACAAGTTATTTTTATACCATTCATTGACAAGAACATTACAGTTTAAACTATTATTTGATAATATAAGCAGAAACACTAAAATGCTTGTAAATGATAAATGGGATTWTTAAATGGAAATATCTTTAACAACCTCTTTAAATGCAAGAATATGTCGTACTTTTTTTTAAATGTTCAAAGCATACCAGCTATATGAGTTTGAATAATATTTATATAAGAAATAGGTTAAATAACTGACCGATAAAGCCCATAATTATAATTATGATTATGATTTTGTTAAGAAGATATTTATGAGGGATAACGCAGATTTTTGTCTTTTAAACCGTTACCCAGAAAGGAAGGTTTCTCAGACGGRCCGGGATAAACTGCACCACCGCTTCTCCCTTTTTSTCTATAAAATACCGCGCKCGCTCTGCTGTGCCTTAGCTTACAGTGGATGGATGATTGGATGATTGCTTGAAAAAATTTATAGATTTACGCACAGYYCCCCTCTGCCCCCTGCGACTATATTAAACTACTCGACAAGGACTCGACAAGGCAATTGGGCAATAYACTGCCGTCAATCAAATGTATTGTTRGAGTATATAAAGACCGTTAAAAGTACATGGAAACCGTGAGAAGGTACATGGGAAACTATTCTAAGGCCCCGTCCACACTATGAAGGATAAATTTGAATCCGAATTKTTATCTATTCGGTTAGGCCTACCGTCCACACTAGTCCGGGCGAATCCAGAACATTTCTTCACCGAAAACGAWTTTTTTTGAATACGGTCTCCAGAGTGATCAGATTACTGTGRGAAGGTAMRTGAAGGTACATGGGAAATAACTCTAATAATTTCTTTGATTAAAGGAAGTGTATTGCTCGATTTCCATGTCGCGAGTCTGTTATCTCGATCTGCACCTAGCAAACCTAACATGGAGAATGCTATTTTCTTTTTGATGAAAACGTCTGTTTCTTAAAGCTTGGAGCCATATCTTTTTTATCCCAAATACGGCGGCGGTGGGCCATACCCTGGATAGTTCCCAGGATATGGATGGTACCCTGGACTGGGAACCTGAGGTCCTAAGGGGTACCCCCCAGGGTAGCCACCTGCTGGTGCCGTGGGGTACGCCCCAGGGYATCCACCTGAAGGGTGGGGTGCTGGGTAGCTGTAGGGCTGAGGGTATCCTGGTGTAGGTGCTGGATAGCCACCATGGGTGTGGTCTGCTTTGTATGTCTGTGAATATGGACTGAACTGAAAGAACAAAACGATATCAGTCACGTCATTGAGATTATGGTGAAAACCTTTAACCTCAAAACCTCATAGATAGAACCCTGAAACAACCTCTGGGCTGTCGATCAAAGTCAGGGCACAGCTAACTCGCAGAGAGAACCCTGAAACAACCTCTGGGCTGATCAAAGTCAGGGCACGGCTAACTTACAGATTGAACCCTGAAACAACCTCTGGGTTGATCAAAGTCAGGGCACGGCTAACTCACAGATCAAACCCTGAAACAACTTCTGGGCTGATCTAAGTCAGGGCACGGCTAACTCACAGATCAAACCCTGAA